TTGGGGGGTTAATTTGGAAGTCCCTTAAAGGGTTTTCCGGGGCCCTTTTGGGGGTGTGGGTTGTTTTTAATTTTTCCCGGAAAAAGGGAGGGGTTTTTTTTGTGGGTTTTAAAGGGGGAATTAAGGGGGGGGGGGGGGGGGGGGGGGGGAGTCCACCATGTACCGAGTAGAAGCTTCAAGCGCCGCAGTACCAATACACACAGGCCGGTGGTTGGTTTTCTGTCTTCTTTTTGTTTTCGTGGTCTGTGCTACAGTATTGAATGGACTAGACACACGGCTGCCGGCTTATTAACCGATATCGATTGAAAATGCTTTCGCGGAAGGGTTGATCGGTAATAATGTGATAAATTAGCAGTTCAGCTTGCGAGGGCGTAGTGCTACCAGCAGTCCTTACCAGTCTGTCTAAACTTCCACCACTGCTAGTGATCCTGTTGCTGTTGCACTAACTCACTTCGGCATTCATTCGGCATTCATTCGATGGCTGCTGCTCTGCGAAGGGCACTTGCTTCGCTTTCGACCCATTAGAGACGGACTCCTGTCCCAAGACACGAGAAAAAATTGCGCCCCGTCCCTTCCTCGAAGACCAGCCCCCCTACATATGCAGTCTACGCACTTGCAAGATGATTGGCCGCGTCAAGTGAATCATGGGGATTGATTCCACACCAAAGGTTAAAACCGCGCACCGCGACGTCTTCGTTGGTTTTAATTTGAAACGGTGAATCCAATCCACTCCAAGCACACAGCGACAGGTTCACAGGAAGGCGCCGCTAGATTCCTCCGGAAACAAAGGTTATGACGCACGTCCCACGGAAGAAGACGAGAGACAGGAACTTCAGCCCGGACGAAGAGGCTGGAAGAAAAAAAGACGGGGGGCAATCAAGCAGGCAACCGAAAGCGCAGACTCGCTATTATTGCGGCGTGATTTTTGGCTTAAAGTTAGTGGTGGGGTTCGTGAGCCCCGGCACTTTCATTTCCTTCGGCTTCTACATGCATACGATCTACCACGCAGAGCTCGCTGCTCGTCATTGCCGACGTCCTAGATGCATGCATACAGCCTTAAACCGTATTTTTACCCGTGCCTTCTCGTCGTCCTCCCGCCCTTCAATCCGTCCGTGTGCATCGATCGTTGCTTGCAACAGACACGCTCGTTGAGTCGGCTTACCGCGGCAGCAGCAGTAGTAGGCCGCACCGCACGGGCCAGAGAGAGCGTAATTTTGTGCGTGAAGATTTCTTTCTTTTTTTTTTCAGGCGACAGCTACATGTTTCATCGATCGAGTGTTTCGCACGGGGGCCAGTGACATCACGCTGCGGGTCTCACACGGGTGAACACAAAAAAACAAAAGAAAATCGGAGGAAAAAATATTACAAAACAAAGCACGGGTAAATGCGTTCTCCCCGGACTCCTACTTTAACGTACGGTCACCGAGCAACGAAAGACACAGGAAATGAACAGACTACGGCGAGAAAATAATTCCACATCACATACAAAACGTTTGCATATGGCCAGGGTGCAGCTGCTACATACCGCGGTGTCGTCTACCCGCATTTTTTTTTTTTCTTTGTCGGCACCTTGACCGTGTACAGTATCGGTCTTGACCACAAGCCCTAACCACCACCACCACCCACCACCATCAACAACACGACATACCGCCAGACCTGGCACATTAATAAAAACCACGGAACGGAATGGAACGACCACGGAACGTAAAAAATTAGCTACCAGGTAAATGGGACGAACCCCGCGACCCCATCACGCGGTGCAACAACAACATACGACAGGACCCAAAAAACTAAATGGGGCTAAAATTCTGACCACTATCGACGGTATACGCGCTCGCCTCCCCCCCCCTCCCCGCGCAAAAAACTCGGGGCAAGGCAGACGAGAACATAGTACTACCCATGCAGGAAAGAGGGACGGGGGGTACGCAACCCGGACCAAAGAAAAAAAAGAAAACGACCTCCCCCGACTCCATCGTACAGTACGATCCATGTGGTACTACTACTACTTCTGTCAAATCAGCAACCCCCACGTAATCTGTAACCTACCCCACCTGTATCATCGGGTCCTGGCAGATGACGCGCGGAGAAAAAGGTAGGGGAAATCCGTTGCCCCCATGTTTCAGCATCACGGCCAGCTTCCTGCTGGGGGCAAGCAAAACACCGCCGGCCTCGCCCCGCCCCGCCCCGCCCGGTCCAGTCGAGGCGACACGCCTCTTCTCAACAGTAACAGCAAGCCTTCTCTCAACGTAAGCCCCGAATGTAGTCTAGTGTTGTGGTTGTCCTTACGGTCCAATCGAACGACGGCTCTCTG